TAATTGGAATAGTATTGAATCTGAAGATCTATTTGATTGGTATGACTACTTTTTCTTTTAGTATCATACTGAGGATGGATACCAGGACCTTGCAAATCTTAGACAAGTTTTCCACCACTGAGATAATTTTTGGCCCTTTAATTATTTTTTATCTTGAGACAGGCTCTTGTTAAGTTGCCTAGACTTGTCTCAGACTCACTGTGTGACCCAGGCAGGCCTTAAACTTTCAGTCCTCCTGCCTCAGCTTCCTGAGTAGATGAGATTATATATGTGTGCAATGTTTGTCTCAGCATTACTGTCTCAGTGATACTAAATCTTTCGGCCTATGGACAAGAGATAGATTTCCATTTATTTAGAGCTTCTATCATTTCTTCCTATAATATTTTTAATTTTCAGCGTACAAGTTTTACACTTTTATATTAGATGTATTTTTCATACTTCACTCTCTCGGATACTATTATAACTGAGATCATTTACTTAATTTCATTTTGAATTGTTCACGGGATGTATAGGCAATAAATAATTTCTATATGTTAATCTGTGTCATGCAACTTAGCTGAATTTGATTATTATTTTCAACATCTTTTAGTTGATTCTTTAGGATTTTCTATATACTAGAAAGTAAGTAAAGTAAATAATTGGAATACAATGACAGGATGTTACTTTTTATTTATAGTAATTTCTGGTCTTAAGTCTATTTTTTCTGATACTAGTATCCCCGCTCTAGCTCTCATAGCTGCTATTTACATATCTATTTTCCACCTTACTCTCAGTTTATTTGTCCCTTTGAATCTAAAGTATGTCTCTTATATAGGATACAGTTTGAACCTTGAATGTTAAATCTAGTATGACAGTCCTTGTGATGATTGTCTGCTTACCCTGAGGTGACAGCCCTACTTTTTAGGTAGGACTCTGAATACGGAGAGTAGTTCTTGCTTTTTTCAGTTTCTCCTTTCTGGTGTGAGACCACCACCACCCCAGGAGTAAGCTGGGGCAGGGCGTTCGGGTGCTTTCATTCCTGGCCTGGTATGTCTATGGTGGAGCTTCTACCAGATAACGGGCAGCTGGGGAAGTGAAGGGAGCCTTAGTCTTCTTTATTATAACAGCCTAGAGTAGAGCTTCTGTAATACCTAGTGGAGATTGGAGATGATGTCCTATTAGACTAAAGCCATAGCACTAGACCAGGAACTGTGAAGTGCTGCACTTGGACACAGCTGATTGAAATTGAGCTTCCATCATATTTAGCTGTTGGTGAGGGGAAAATAGACATGAATGAATCATGGCTTGAATTCCACAGACTCTCATGGTTCTTACTGAAATTGAGTAGATAGTTCTCTGTTTGCTAACTATACATCCTAAGAAAGCTTCCAGAGCTCGAAAGTGTTGTTTTAGAAATCATGTTTAGTAATTAAATGAGAAGTACTGCAGTATCAGCACTATTGTGTGTAGGCCAGCATAAGCAATGGAGTTCATCCAGTGATGAGAACTGGATTGGTTTTCTTGTTGAGTGAATTCTCTGTTCTCACATTCAGCCATGACAGAGGTGTAAGAGGACCCTGGCCTCTTGACTCATGCTTAGTGCTCTGTGGTCTAGCCACCACTAGCTTCCCTAAAGCTCTCTGAAATTCATCCACTCAGGCTGTCATCCTATTTGGCATCCCATGATTGTATATTTTCCAATATCCTAAGATCTTACACAGAAACTCAAGTGACCTTGCAGAAATTTATTTCCAGGCTGTATTCTTACAAAGAAAATGAATTATTTTGTCACAGGCATAATACCTTGTTAATTTGGGAAACACATTTTGTAAAGAAAACCATTGTTTATTATTTTTTAATTTTCACTATGTAACAAGGAAACAAAGAAATGAAATGGATTTGTCACAGTCAGATGATGGCATTGCCCTTGGGAATCATCCTGGAAAGGACTAGAGTCAGATAGCAGACGAGGCAGATCAAAGTTGTCATGGAAGGAAGAATGACAAACTAAGAGATGTGGAAAGGTATTAGGCACTGTGCAAGCCCATCTATGTCTGAAGGGCAGTAGACTATGGTGGCTTTTTATTGATGAGGTTTTGGCCTTGACAACAGATTTGTTAATTTAATACCTGACATCCAGATCTTGGACTTAAGTGGGACACATGGCTAACTGTATAGCAAGGAACTTTAAAATGGAGGATGAAGTCATTTTTTCCTAGAGGGATTCTTAATAAAATAGATGCCTTAAAAGAATTTTTTACATGTTAAAATTAGTATATGATAGTTATACAGAAGGGATTTATTATGATTTTTCCATAAATGTATAGAATGTATTCTGATCAAACTCACCCACTCTATCACTCTTCCTCATTCCCTTGTCTCACTTTCTTAAAACAATTTCAACAAATTTCATTGTTCTATTTTCACACATGTATGTTAAGTACTTGGATGGTATTTACTTTCCTTTATCCTCTCTATCCTCCCACTGGTTCCTACTTCCCAACAAGTTCTGTTTTACATTCTTCTCATTCATTTTTAGGTGTATATTAAGTGTACCATTATGTTTTCTTACATCCCTATATCATACTTCAATTGTATTAACCTCCTCTTTATGCTCTTTTCCTGTCTCTTCTGTTGTTCTACTATTACTCAACAGCTTCAGTGAGTTTCCTTATGACATCTTCATACATTCCCACAATGCATTTTGATATTACTCACCCTCCATCATTCTCTTTCCTTGTCCATTTCCCTAACCTCTCCAAACAGCTCTACAATTATAGTCATGTTCTCTTTCCCCATGTAGTTCTAGAATTCTCATTGGAGGCCAAGTGGAGAACTTGGATTTCTGTTTCTGTCCAATAATTATGACTTCTTTCTCCAGCACAGCAGGGCAAGATAGATAGATAGATAGGTAGATAGATAGATAGATTGATGGATAGATAGAGAGAGAGAGAGAGAGAGAGAGAGCGATAGACAGACAGACAGACAGAGACAGAAACAGAGAAAGAAACAGAGACAGAGGGACAGAGAGAGAAAGAGCCAATATCTCCTCATATAACTTTAAATGTATATCGTATTGAACCTCACTCATCACACCTGGAAGAGTTCAAACAATGAAAAAAGTTATCAATAGATGCCAATACGGAGATGATAAAGAAACTAGAAAAACCTGAAAAATATTTTTAAACAACTGCAAAGACATTTGAAACATGAAAAAATTAAAGAATCTTGGCAAAATAGAAAGGTTAAGCCTATAAATGGAGACATAAAATAGAGTAAGAGGATATTTTAAAATGGGGAAATACAATAACCTAAATTTTAAAAAAGAAACACAAAAGCACTTCAATTGATACTCTCAGTAGCACAATGGAGAAGATAGAAGAAAGTCTTCGGAAGTCCCAGATGGAAATTAGAAGAAAGCAGAGCGGGTGACTCCCACAATCCCCAAATTTGTCAAAAGTCATGACCTACAGACTCAAGAAGCCAAGCAAATCCCATAAGTATAAACTCAGCAATTCACTTGAACACATATTGTAATGACATGGGAAATTAAGGACAAGAAAAATCTTGAACGTAACAGAGAGAAACCATTTGAATCGCTGTAAATTTCTTTTCAGAAACCTGTGGGTATGAGAGGAAATAGCATGACATTTTCAACCTCTAGAGAACCATCAAACCAGAATTCTATACTCAGCAAATGAAAGAGAAATGGAAGAGTTAGTAGACTTATCCTAAAAGAATAGAGTTAAGAATTTCCTTAAACAGAAAAGCTAAAAACAAAAAGAGGCTTGGAACATAAAGAAAGAAGAAACAATAAAGGAAGCAAAAATATCTACCTATTGAGTTCTGGAAACTATGGTTAATATTGGAGCAAAACTCATGACACTAATGTGGTTCTAGTGAAATTATTAGAAATGCTTACGACAACCATATATAGGAGACAAACCTTATTTTTCACTGGAACTGGTAAAAATGATGGCACAAGTTAGCTGTGCTATTATCCACAGCTACAGATACAGATACAGTAGCCAGAGTAACCACTAAAAATGCTATATAGAGCTATACTCATTAACACAAAAATACATCAAAATGGACTTGCTTAATATTCCAATGACCTAAAGGATGGAAGAAAAATTAAATCTCAAAAATAAAAAAGAATATAATTTTAAAAGATTTTTAGCCCTAGCTGGGCACCAGTGGCTCATGCATGTAATCATAGATACTCGGGAGGCTGAGATCTGAGGATCGTCATTCAAAGCCACCCCAGGCAGGAAAGCCCGTGAGACTCTTATCTCCAGTTAACCACCAGAAAGCCAGAAGTGATGTTATGGCTTAAGTGGTAGAGTGCTCACCTTGAGCTGAAGAGCTCAGGAACAGCACCCAGGCCCATAGTTCAAGCCCCATGACTGCCCCCCACCCTTGCAAAAAAAAAGATTTTAGCCCTAACATATTAATAATTACATTAAATGTAAATAGCCTAAATAATATAATCAAAAAGGAAAGCTTGGCAAAGTAGGTTAAAAAACATAGTCAAATTCTATGGTGTTTCTAAGAAACTCACTTCAAATACAACATAAGCTAGGCAGAGTGGTATATGTGATAGTCCCACCTACTTGCAGAGACACTAGGAACACAAATTTAAGACCAGCTCACCCAATCTCAAAATAAAATATTTTAAAAAGGTCTGGGGTGTGTGGCTCAAGTAATTGAGTACTTTGTCATTACTACAATTTACATATATATGCATATAATATACATAGCTATAAACGCATATGTACATTAGCAAAGAAGAAAATCTCAAATATAAATCTAAACTCTTAAGAATCTAGAAAAAGTGCAAAGTAAACAGAAAGGAAACAAGATGAATGGAACAATAAGCATAAGAGTAGAATCAATGAAATAAAAATTAGAACAATATAGAATATTAATCAAACAAAAAGCTAGATCACATCAACAGATCCAAGGTCAAGAACCACATGATTATCTCCACTGATGCAGAAAAGGCTTTTGTTAAAATAAACACCCATTCATGTTAAAAACTCTGGAAAAAATAGGAATAGAAGGAACATTCCTTAAAACAATAAAAGCCATATATGACAGACCAATAGCCAATATTATACTTAATGGGGAAAAACTACAACCAATTCACCTAAAAACAGGAGAAAGGCAAGGATACCCACTCTCTCCACTCCTCTTCAATATAGTTCTGGAATCCTTAGCCAGAGCAATACAGCAAGAAAAAGACATTAAAGGGATCCACAAAGAGGAGGAAGAAGTTAAACTATCCCTTTCTGCCGAAGACATGATTTTATATCTTAACAATCCCAAAACTTCCATACCCAAACTCTTAGAGCTTATAAACCACTTTGGCAAAGTAGCAGGATTCAAAATTAACCCACAAAAATCTGTCACCGTTCTGTACACCAACAATGTCCAAGCAGAAAGGGAAATCAAGGAAACAACCCCATTCACAATAACCTCAAAAAAAATGTATCTAGAAATTAACCTAACCAACAATGTAAAAGATCTATTTCATGAAAACTATAAAATCCTAAAAAAGAAGTCCTAGAGGACACCAAGAAATGAAAAGACCTCCCATGTTCCTTGATAGGCAGAATTAATATTCTGGAAATGGCCATACTGCCAAAATTGATATATAAATTCAATGAAATTCCCACTAAAATCCCAATGACATACTTTACTGAAATAGAGAAAACAGTGCAAAAATTTATAGGGAACAACAAAAGACCTAGAGTAGCCAAAGCAACTCTAGACCAAAAAAAAAAAAAAAAAAAAGAATGCAGGAGGAATCATGATACCGGATTTTAAGACATAATAACAAAGACAGCTTCGTATGGGCACAAAAAGAGACCTGAAGACCAATGGAACAGACTAGAGGACCCAGAAATAAAACCACATACATACAGACAGTTGATATTTGACAAATCCATACAGTGGAAGAAGCATAGCCTCTTCAACTACTGGTGCTGGGAAAACTGGGTGGGCACATGCAGAAAACTAAAAGTGGACCCTAGCTTGTCACCATGCACTAACATCAGCTCAAAATGGATTAAAGACCTTAACATCAAACCTGATACTCTGAAACTACTGCAGGACAGAGTAGGAGAGACAGGCAAGAACTTCCTAAACAGACTCCCAGGGTCACGACAAATCGGACTACCTTAAAATAAAAAGTTTCTGCACAGCTAAAGAAATAGCAACCAAACTAGCAAAAAATCAACAAATTGGGAAAAAATATTTATGAGCAATTTATCAGATAAGGGCTTAATATCCATTATATACAGGAAATTCAAATCTAACAAACCAATCATGAAATGGGCAAGGGAGCTAAAGAGAGACTTCTCAGAATAAGAGATAAAAATGGCAAGAAACACATAAGGAAATGTTCATCATCCCTGGCTGTAAAGGAAATGCAAATAAAAACAACACTGAGATGCCACCTTGCCCCAGCCAACGACAAATGTTGAAGGGGATGTGGAGAAAGAGGAATGCTACTGCATTGCTAGTGGGAATGTATACTAATACAATCACTTTGAAAGCAGTCTGGAGGTACCTCAGAAAGCTAAATATAGACCTTCGCTATGACCCAGACATACCACTCCTAGGCATATACCCTGAACAACAGGAACCAGGATAGAAGGACACATGCACCTCCATGTTCATTGCAGCACTGTTCACAATAGCCAAGCTATGGAAACAACCTAGATGCCCCACCACAGATGAATGGATCCAAAAACTGTGGTACCTATATACAATGGAATATTATGCAGCCATTAGAAAGGACAAAATAATGGCGTTTGTAGGGGAATGGATGGAACTAAAGAAAATCATTTTGCGCGAGGTAAGGCAAGAGCAAAGAGATAAACAGCACATGATGTCCCTGATATGTGGATGCTAAAGCCAAAATTCAAGGAGATATGACAAAGTAAATAGGACTTGAGAAACAATGGACTGCCACTCATTTTGTCATAACATTGCTAAATGAGTCCATGTTATTGACCACATATATGATATATATACATACATGCAATAGAGGGAAGCTAGGAGGAGGACTAGAATCAGTGGGAAATGGGAAAACACACAGAGAGGCCCATCAGCTGCATAGATGAAAATGAACTAAACAACCCAAAGACAGTGATGGGAAGGAGGAATGAGAGGGAAAGAGAGAACAGCTTACACTAAGCAAAAGGACAGAAATGTAAATATCACCTGATGTGGAAGAGATAATTGTATTGTCAAAGCTCATAGAATTCACCAACTTTATAGACCATGATAATGACAATTTGCCTTGTGAAGGTTAAAATGTGTTTGTGTCTTTAACTAAGTATCACTATTCCACAATACTGTGAAATATGTAAAATTTATGTAATCACCTAATCTCAATTTTAAAAAAAAGAAGAAAAGAAAAGAAAAGTGAGAGAAGGGGTGTGTTAGGGTGACAATGTTATCAGACACTTTTTATTCATATACTGTTTTGTAGAATGGGAACTTCTTTGTACAACCACTTAAAGATAATAAAAAAGAAATAAAATAATAAAATCAAGATAATAAAAATATAGAAAAGTAAATAAAAATCTAGATCTTTTAAACAGTAAAATTGACAGACCTCCAGCAAGACTATAAAGAAAAAAGCAAAAACACAAATTACTAATATCAGTAATGATCCAAAGGATATTACTAAAGGTATGTAGAACATCATAATAATAAGAGAACATTTAGAACAGCTCTATAAGTTCTATAAATCTGAAAACTTTAAAGGAATGAAACAACTTCTCTAAAACCACAAAACACCTCAACTTAATCAATATGTGAAATAATTTGAATAACCCTGAACTACTGAGGAAATTGAATTCACAATTTAAAAACTTATAAACAAATCTTTCACAGGAAAATTCTACCAAACACTTAAAAGAATTAGCACAATCTCTATAATCCTGAAAAAATATTCAGAAAGGAATATATTCTAATTCCTAACCAAATAAAGATGATACAATGAAAAGAATACAACAAAACAATATCGCTCATAGACACAAAACCCTTAATAAAATATCATAAAATAGAAATTAATAATATATTACAAAATATGTAACAGGAAAAAATGGATTTATTTCAGGAAAGCAAAACTTATTCAAAAATCAATACAATATACCATGATAACAAGCTAAATAAGAAAAAAAATCACATCAGTTCATAGAGAAAAAATTTGACAACTTTAACATTGTTTTATGATCAAATTAATTTAAATTTGAATAGAAAGAAATGCCCTCAGCATGTTAAAGAACATCTACAACACAATGCACAGTTAATATTATACTTAATGGTGAAACACTGAATTTGTTATTCCAGAATATAGTGGTAGAGTTTGTAGCCAGTGCAATAAGGCAAGAAAAGGAGATAAAAATATGTATAGTGGAAATAAAGTAATAAATCAGTCTCTATATATACATGACATGAGAGTTTATGTAGAAAAGTCTAAGATATCTTCAAAAATTTTAAATCATCCCCTCCAGCATCCGTTGTTATTAGAGTTCTTGATTATAGCTATTCTAACTGGGGTGAGATGGTATCTCAATTTTGTTTTGATTTGCATTTCTTTTATGGCTAGGGAGGTTGAGCATTTCTTCATGTGTCTATTGGCCTTCCTTTTTTCTTCTTCGGAGAAGTTTCTCCTTAAGTCTTTAGCCCACTTATTTATTGGCAGTTGTTTCTTTGAGAATTTGTTGTTGAGGGATTTAATTTTTTGAGTTCCAAGTATATTTTAGATACGAGACCCTTGTCCGTTGTATGGCTAGTGAAGATCTTCGCCCAATCCATGGGCTTTCTATTGATCTTGCTAGCTATGTCCTTTGCCATGCAGAAGCTCTGCAATTTCATGCAGTCCCATTTGTCCAACCTTTCTTTGATTTGTTGTGTTTCTGGGTCTCTTTTAAGAAAATTTCGGCCTGCCAAGGAGACTTAGGGTTTCTCCTATTCCATTCTGCAATGTATTCAGAGTGTCTGCTTTGACTCTGAGGTCTTTGATCCATTTGGAGTTGATTCTGGTACAGGTTGATATATAAGGATCTACAAGTTTTCTACAAGTGACTAACCAATTTTGTCAGCACCATTTACTGAAGAGGCTGTCTTTCTTCCATTCTATTTTTTTAGGTCCCTTATTGAAGATTAGATGGCTATAGGTGTGGGTTCATTTCTGGGTTTTCAATTCTATTCCATTGGTCCTAAGGTCTGTTCTTGTGCCAATCCCAAGCTGTTTTGATTACTATGGATTTGAACAACAGATCCTGGAGGGGATGTGGACAGAAGGGAACCTTACTTCATTGTTGGTGGGAGTATAAACTTGTTCAACCACTTTGGAAAGTAGTATGGAGGTTCCTCAAAAGACTTCACATAGAGCTCCCCTATGACCCAGCAACCCCACTTTTGGGTATTTACCCAAATGATCACAAACAAGACCATACTAAAACTACCAGCACAATTATGTTTATTGCAACATTATTTACCATAGCTAAGATATGTAACCAACCCAGATGCCCTTCAGTAGATGAATAGATCAAGAAAATGTGGTATAACTACACAATGGAATTCTATGCCTCCATCAGAAAGAATGACATTGCCCCATTTGTTAAGAAATGGAAAGACTTGGAAAAAATTATATTAAGTGAAGTAAGCCATGCTCAAAGAAACATAGGTCCCATGGTTTCCCTTATTTGCAATAACTAGTGTATGTCTGAGACAAGCAGAAATCGTCAGATAAGTTCATGTTAGGCAAAATGAACCCTAAGATAAGGACTCAAATGTTTGTTTCTTTCTTATGATTGTTTCTAAGCTATTTATACGGTCATTTCTTTATTGCTTTGTATGTCCCTCCCCCATGGTATAACCCCTGTTTTCACTGTATTTGATGTTGGTATAATTTATGGAGGGGAAGGGAAAAAATTGTTTAAATAAGGATACAGGTGGACCCATTGCAACGAAGAGATGTACAAGACGTTATGTCCAAAAATGAACTTTACATTTTTGTCTGGAGGGGAGGAAGGGAGGAGTGGGGGGAGGGAGATGAGAAGGGATGGAAAGGGGAAA